ATATTGTTGTAGTTGTGTTTTTGTGGCTGTGTTTGTGTGTTGTGGTTGTGTGTTGTGTGTTTTTTTGTGCTGTGGCTGTTTGCTGTGGCTGTGGTTGTGTGCTGTGGCTGTGTGCTGTGGTTGTGTGTTTGTGGTTGTGTGTTGTGGTTGTGTGTTGTGGTTGTGTGCTGTGGTTGTGTGTTTGTGGTGGCGTGTTTGTGAATGTGTGTTTGTGGTTGTGTGTTTGCTGTGTTTGTGGCTGCATGTTTGCCATTGTGTTTGCGGTTTGTATGTTAGTGGTTGTGCGTTTGTGGTTGCGTGTTTGTGGTTGTTTCTTTTTTTGTGGTTGTGTTTTTGTGACTGTGCATTTGTTTTTGTGATTGTGCATTTGTTGTTGTTGTGGTTGTGTTTGTGTTTGTGTTTGTTTTTGTGTTGTGTTTGTGATTGTGTTTTGCAGTTGTGTATTGTGTATTGTGTGTTTGTTGTTATGTTGTGTGGTTGTGTGTCGTGTGTTGAGGTCCGGTACTGCCCACTGGGCGATTGATGTTTGGCACTGCCCGCTGCGATTTGGCACTTGCTGTTGAGGCCCGGAGAGCCGGAGGAGGATGAGGATGAGAAGAGAAGGCTAGTTACTATTTAACAACCGTCACCTGACAACCTGACAGGTGGGGAAAAACCAACCGCACTTCACCGAAAATTTGACACCCTCTCCCCACAGAGATTTAAGACTCTGCGGCGACCTCAAAAATCGGCGACCTCAGGGATCGGCAGGGTACACGGCATCTCCAGGTGATGCGCTGGCTGGTGGGACCCATCCCTGCGCTCTTCATCGTGCTGGTGCTTTGGGCTACATTGGGATGATGTGTTTCGCAGAGGGAACCAACTGAGCGAAGAGTGCAAACATAAGAAGAACCAGTCACGGTGATCAAAGTGATGTCGTCAACGCAGATGCTCAATGAAGACCTGCTACTCCAAAAACGGTTGTGGTGGACTACATTGCTTAAAAACACACTGACGGGAGCACCCTCTGACAGCTGCTGCACCATCGAAACAACACAGTCTCAGGCCATGTTTGCTGCCTGGCGCTTTCCCATTACACCAGCAGTACATGCAGAGAGGCGCCAGTCCGATGGATCGTGAGATGATGAGTCCTGCTGTCCTTCTCAAGTCCTCCGTTGGAACGAGGTTTTCTGCTTAAGTCTTGCCCGGACAAATTTGAAGATTGTATTGATGCATGGATTTCTGAGAAACTTTCAGACTTGACTCTCGAGTCTTTGTGGGACGCTTTCGTGTCAGTTTGTGTCAGGCAAAAAAGGAAAAGACACAACAACCAGAGAAGGGCGGCAATTTTCTGGATAGGAGGAGGGCTGATTCCTACTCACAATCTACAACAGTCTGGCTTGGGATTTGTTCAGACGACTTGCTATTTGGCTGTGAGTCATGGCACCAAGATACCTTTGGTAGGTCACTACTCGGAACCAGGTTTTGACCCTACAATTGCTGCCCAAGCCTTAGGCCCATTGCCATTCCAGGCATCCCAAACATGGCCAACGCATGTCCGTCGCTTGCAGGGTCGCAAGGCGTGCCGCGGCGGCCGCTTCGGCCTCCAAGGCCACGTTGGAGGCCACGGGCCTCTTGGAGCCAATGTGGCCCGTCCTCGGCGGTTTTGGTTGAATTGCTTCGAAAGTGATATACAATCTTGGGACAATGGCATAGCATTGGTATTTTAGGGTCATGGTTTGCAGAACATTGGCATGGCATCATAGGATTCAATTGAAGATCGAGGGCTTCGTGTGGGTGTTTGTGAGAATGAACATGTCACCACACGTATCATTTTGGGAGCATTGTATAGACTAGGAGTATGTGGGATCGAAGCGGAGAGTCCTGGTCGGCATTTTTCTAGAGAGAGGCTCTTGGAGGGTCCGGATTTTTCTGAGCCCCATGACATACCGGATTAGCAAGTGCTTACCAAAGATGTGTACCAGACATTTGACAAAAGACCAGCACACAATGCCAGTTCAGGTCAGGTCTCGTTTTATAAAGCAGATTCGAGTTGCTTGCAGTTCCAAGCTTTCAATGCCACCTACAGCCCAAGGAGAAGCACCTGCCGAGCTGGAGGTGGGGCTTCTTTTTGGTTGGAGACGTATTTCCCTGGTCTTTGGACAATTCATGGAACATTCATCAAGACGTCACTAGCAACTATGGACAGCCTGATATGGACAGCATATGCCAATCATTGCCGCCACAAGACCACAGGTTGACAAAACTGATAAGCTCCTTGATCTTGGCTCTTTGATCTAAGTCTTGCCCTGGAAGGTAGTCAAAGTGCCACACTGCGACACAAGGATGAGCCTTTGAAGAGAGAAAGATGAGAAAGGCCAGCGATTTCAGAACCAGCTACGTTTGATCTGCGAACCTTTTTAGACGTGTTGAAACGGCCGAATCAAGAAGCTTCCCATGTCCTTGCACACTTGGTGCACCAAAATTCTGAACCTGATCCTGACATTTGATTTGTGCAGGATGTGGCATGTCGATCCTGCCATTATCTTGAGTCTGAATTTTCCATTGACGCGCTTTGTTGAGCACGTTGCAAAATTCGGTGCGCCCGTGAAAAACCCGTAGCTCGCACTTCAGCTGGCCAAAAGAAGTGGGAGGTGCCCTCCTGCCTGGTCAGCTGTACAGTCTCGACATCTATCGACTTAGCTTTGGCTTTGTCAAAGCACCTTGACGACATGCACAACGATGCATGAGGTATGAGTCTCCCTCGCCCATTTCTCCACAGAGAGAAAGTGAGAGAGAGAGAGAGATGGCAAAGGTCGGCACTTCGAGATGTCTGCATCTTTAGACTAGAACCCAAGCCCCGCCCAGCATGAGACTTTTGCAGAGAAGCAAGAAGTTGTTGGGTATGCGGTATGAGTGAGGCAAGGAGGCAAGCCCCAGAAGGGGTACAGTAGCCAGCTAGCCTGATCAAACCCCACTATTCCCCCACCCGGTGGGATGCAACTAGACAATGGTCATGAGCAGCAGACATGCCGACTCATCGAAGAACTCATCGAAGAACTCCCAGTCACCCAGTGTGGCGAAAGTCACCTGAGAGTGACTCCGGAAGCTTTGTCGATTTTCCAGCGGCAGGACAGTCGATTCATGGTGCTTCCCAAAGTCGAGCCACTCGTGCTAAGGATGGGAGACAGTTTCATTCTGAAAACTATCCTTCAACTCTGTATTGAATTGTTGAGAGGGTCATCTATCAAGGGGCACAATATGATGGCTTGCTGGAAGCACTTGACTTGCAACCCGCCGCATGGCACAGCTCATTCATGTACACAGCCACAGGCTGGCTGGCTGACCTTCGAGCCTTCTATTTTCATGACTTTTCATGTAAACAGCCTGCAGATTCGACTTCGATGACTCAATCCATGTAACGGCAATACTGCTCTTGCTTCCATGGGTACTCATACAATATTTTTTGTTTTTGCTGTGAAAGGCCAATCACAACGTTCGAAGCGTGAGATCCTGCTTTGGAGTCTTCAAATAGAGTGGACATGACATTACACCACTCTTACCAAACTGGTGTTGCACTCATTCTCATTCTGGTGTTGTCAAGCTGGCAATGATGTATGGGATACTTGATCAGACGAACGGTGAACCCAAAAGGGAAGGCTTGAACATTTATGCTTTTCCCAGCCACCTCTCTAAGAGAAGGATTTATTGTTTCACGTGCGAGAGGATGTGTGCATGATGTGTACATAATCATCTCGGAATAATCGGGCCAGATTTTGGTTTTCCTTTCATCAAATAAGAAGTTGAAAGGTTCCACCTGGTCTTGTTGTAACAAATAGTGCGCGATGATTTGCATAGTTCTGCCCTGATCATCGTGTGATGATGTATTCTTCTATATAAATGGATGTGAGAACTCTAGCCTATTCACCACTAGGACAACAGTTGCTTCTTGAAGGTTCCAAAGTGAAAACTCTAGGATTCCCTCAGAATCCTGCAAGACACTTATGTCACCTCACATGGTGGCATTTCTTGCCTCAAAGGCGGTTTCATTGTTATCAATTTAAAGGAGGGTGATAAGCGACTGTCCCACACTGGCCACACGAAGTGGACTTCTTCATTCGACCGCTGCTAATCCACATATTGCAATTATAAGACCTGGTCTTGGTAAGAAGTACAAGATAGCATGGGCTTTCTGCCTCTTGAAGTATGTGGTTCAATATCATTGCTAGTTTACAGGTGAACAGATGATGAAGCACTCCTGAAGCATTCAAAAAAGGCCATGTCAATTCATTCCGTGATTTGTTTGGCTTCACTGACTTCATCAGCTGTTTGAACTTCTTTTTGCCTCAAAGCTGGCTTGATTTCTTCAGAGGGATCGAGCAGATCGCACATGGTACAAAGGCAAGCCTCTTGGATGTGTCACTATCATTGCTCCAACAATGAAACCGCTCCTCGCAACGGTGGTTGGTTCACCAGTGGTGCAGACTGCGAAGCCTGACACAGCCTTGACAAGTGAGTAAGAGAATCAAGCAACATAGCCAAGACCCAGAATAGCACACAAATGCGCAATTGCATTGGCCGCTACCATTCAAGGGAAGCCAAGGACGGTGGTTCTTGGTTTTGGGAACTTTTCAGCTGTACCGTCCTCTCGCATGTGAACCACGCTGGAGTTGGTGCTCTGGGCCAAGCTTTTGAACATTGACAGAGCTTAAGAGACCTGACAGCCCAGCACCTGCGACTTGACTGATGCCGGTGCTTGACAAGAGTGTTTTTGCTTTTCTAGCAGATGGGTTCTGCAAGACTTGAGATTATGGAGTTCTGCGTTGTTCTAGCAAGCTGGATGGTGTTCTGATATTCTGACTGGTGTTTGTTCTAGAAAGTGTGTGACAATTCATCAACATTGAATAAGTTCAAACAAATTTTGATGGGGCTGTGGCAGTGCAGACGACATCTATTCCCCTCGTTCACTGCATCAAACCACCAAACAACAGGGCATCAGAGATCTCCGCACACGCTGAGAGGCCGAAGGGATCTACTTGCGCGAACACGTGGAGCAACTTGAGGCAGGGTGTGGAAATCAGGGTTGCAAGGGTTTTGCGGTACGTTTGAGTAGAAGTTAGTCTCCGTGTCCTTGCAACTGTCCGCAGGCACCAAAGTGAGCCACCGAATTTAAATGGTTTGAACAATTTCACTATGGAGAGGCGCCCGTTTTCCGAATTTCCGCGCCCCATGGTCCAAAGACGGTCTTTCATGCCCAGCGCAGCATTGGCGACAAAGGTGTCCAATGTGCTTCATCCCCCCAAGTTGATCGAACGGTGATTCTGTGCGGTTGAGTTGTGGATGTACTCTCCAAATGCTGCGGGCGGCTGGCCAAGTGCCCCAAATCAACCTCAGTGGTGAGATTTCGGACCTGACTCTGAAACACCAACCCGTGGATTTGAATCAGTCTTGCTCGCCATGTTGGGCAAAGGCAAGATGTTTTGGAGTGCAAATGGATCACACACACGGCTGCCGACCAAGCAAATAGAGTTGCAAAACATGACTAAACTGCAAGGACTCAACAGGTTACATGGACTTAGCAACTAGCGTGAGAGTCATACAGTGAAATCTATCGGGGCCTTTGATGTCAAGAAAGACATTTTGTTTGGGCTTCCAACTGCGCAGTATTAAGTGGCACTGAAACTGATCAGTCAGGAATGTGGCGGGGCATTGCTAGGATCGATTCGACAACTTTACTTGATCCTGCGCAGTTTGGGACTTTTGAATCCCGGGAAGCAAAGCTTGATCTCAGTGGTCAAATCTTTCGAGGTGGGTGGCATTTCTGCAAACAGTTGGAACACACCCCTAGGTATACAGAGGCCGCGGGCCGCGCTCTTCTTTGCAGCAAATGTCTCGGCTATTCTCAAAGCAAGCATAGCGTTGCCATTGTCAAGTTATGGAAGTCAATCAAACTCGATCAACAAGAGCAGCCCAAATTGGATAGTAGGACCATTCTTTTTGTAATGTCACTTAATGGGGAGTGACAAAGGGACCTTAGAACAGCTGCCAACCCGCTGTGGAAATGCCAAGAAGGGACCGAAGCCGCATCCGGCGACGAAGCTCCGGGTGAGACCGATCGATGCGTGGCATCAAAAAGGATCGGGACGAGTCATGGCGGCGGTCGCACGGAGACACTTTGTTGAATTGTGCTGAATCTGTATGGATCCCTGAAAACGTGTGACTTTTTCACATCATTCCACTGCATTTGATTCCCATCCCCAGTGTGCATTGGAGGAGATCGACGCCTGGCAAAGGGATCAGGCTGCGAGGAAATTGGAGGCAAGGACTGCAACGAAGAACATGCTTCAAGAGAATGTATAACGTACGGTGAGGAATTGTGAAGACCATGCCTCAACGAAGAATTGCATCGTCTGTTGTTGTGATATATGCCGTTTGCCCAGCAGTCTCCTGCACCGGCTTTGCGTTGTGCTGCTACATGTGAGAAACTTCTTGCATTGAACGTCTTAAGGCTCTGAAATTGCTATACGTGGTGCCAACATGTCGAGCCACCGGCAGAATGCAACGGTTGTCATCTCAGGCGCAGAGCCAGATCCTGAGCCCTGTGAAGCAAGGCGGAGCTTTGTGTCGACAACCGGGTCGCTTCGTGACGACCGTCTCCAGAGGTTGGCTCTCAGAGAAAGGGTAAAAAAAGTACTGTAATCACTTGCAATTTGCAAGCATTGTTGGATCGACTTTTCGCTTTGTTGAAATTGAGCATTTTCCAGGGGGTCGAACATAGAGTGACTATGTACAATAAACTATACAATGCGCATGCATGATTGAGACAAGACTTGGAGATGAACGCGGCATGAAGTGGATGAAAAAGTAGAGGAAGTATATATATATATAATCACTCTATTCTTGGTCCCTGTGACAAATTGTTTAGTTATGTCTTACTTGCAACTTGCAAGCATTGTTGGATCTATTTTTTGACCTCCAGGGGGTTGAAAAATAGAGTGGTTATGTACTGCACTCGGTAGCGGAGGCTTCAACCAACCAACAACAATGAAGCAACCTTCAATGTACCAACAACTCGCTAACCTCTAGCGACAAAGGATCACCGACATGTGGTGGCGCACCGTTTTCTATCTGAGGCTCAAACGTTCGAACCCACCCGGCTTCGGATGGTCGCTCATGGAACCCTCGTGGACAAAGTCTCACCATGGATCATGCTTGGTGCTTCGCATGTCATCCCTAAACTCTCATCTCCTACAATCCTGAGACTTTGACCGCTCGGATCCCATGGCCAATGGCGTTCCTCTGCCATCTGTGCAATGGCGGCTAGAAAACTCTCTTGGTGCTCCTTCATCATCTTTTCCAGCTCTCTCTTTCGGACTTTCCTGCCCGATTCGAACTTCGGGTCATGAACAAGGCGCCATTTCTGGCCAGCTGCAAAGAACTGCAGGAGGACTCGTCGGGAGTTCCATTTCGTGAGGCTATCTCCAAGCTGCGCGCCTCCATGCACCCAGCGAAACTCTGTCCCGACTTGTCGAGCTTGCGCGACTGAGATGGTAAGCTCGTAGCCGCTTCTCGTCGACCTCAAGCCGTGAAGGCTTGATGTGTTTCTTGTGGCAGCATCAAAGATACCTCGAGTGTCCATCACAACTGCTCCACTCGAGTTGTTCTTCACAACATTGTACAATGTGCCACGCTCAAAAACTTCTCCATTCAATTCAGTCCAAAAACTTCGAGCACGAAACACTAAGTCCTCTGTCTCGGTCACGGACTGCACTTCCGCGCCGTTTGAACCCAACACTTGGCGTGGAGCCTTGGTGGATTTCCACTGCAGCAATGCAACGTGGTGTTCTTCTCCTGAAAGAAACTCAACAGGGGCCATCCCCAAAACAATGCCCATTGTTGAACTGCTGTCAGGCCGATTGTCAGCTCGCGCCATGGGCGATTCCAATGAAAGAAGGTCAAACACTGATCGCTTTCCCTTCTCATCTCACGCACCAACTTGTTTGCACGAACCAGGGTGTCAACAGTTGCAACAGGCACTTCTGAAAGCAACAATCCAGCGTCTGCCAAAAACTGGGGTGAGGTTTGCGACGCTCTCCACGCTACTGTGCCAATGCAACCTCTGAGGGCCGACACCTCGGCCGCTGTGGCCTTGTCCTTAGTCTGTTTGGCTCTCGCAGGCGTCAACTCAATCTCTTCAATCCACCTTTCGGTGTACTCCTTTTGAGAAATCTTGATTGTACCATCTGTTGATGAGGAGATTTGACAACCTGTGAATGTAAAAGAATCAACATCCCACTTGCCCCACTTGTAGGCTCCCTGCAATGCTTCCAGGGCAGATTGAAACACCTTGTTCTCTTCGGCACCGCCAACCAACACGTCATCGACGTGAACACCAGCAACACTGACCACTGGGCTGCCTGCTTGTGACGTATCGTACAAAGCAAAGACACATTTGTCAGCTTGCATCTGCCGGTATCCAATCTTCACTAGGGTGTTGGAAAGGTGGTCATACCAAGCCTTTGGAGCATTGACCAGGCCATAGAATGCGCGTGTAATGCGCAATGGCATGCATGGTCGCTCCGGTGGTGCACCAAAAAGCACTGCCAACTCTGAGGGGGCCCACACTGTCAGACCTTGGTCTTCCAAACTCTGGTCAGCCGGCAGGAAGGCTGACGTGACATCGCCTCCTCGGATGCGGAATCCAAGATTTGCACTCAAAGCCAAGATCATGTTCCTTGACAGCCGGCTCATGGTGGGTGAACTGCTTTGCACCGAAACCAAATTCGGAGCTTGGTAGCCACATACCACCAAGCGCGCCTTTGCGCTCTGATCGCCCTTCACAGTCAACGCCCAGCGCATAGTCATTACGCTCTTGGGGTTCAGCTGCTTCTGCTCCTGAATGGTCAGGGACCGCAGGGCTTTGGATTGCAGGACTTGGGACATCTCTTTTGCCTGGGCAAGGTCAAAATTCTTCTTCTCTTCGAGGGTCATCTTGCTCCACTCCTTCTCCTTGCCCTTCTCAATGAGCTTCTTTGAAAGCCATATTGCCGATCGGTTGGGATGGTTGTGCAGGTATTGTAGGTCGTTGGGCTTGACCTCAATCTCCACTTGGTAGATGGTGTCATCCTCAACCATCATGAAAAGGTTGGAGTGGTCTTTGGCCTTTCGCTTCTGAACGGCCTTCCCTTTTCGCACTTGCTTCTTCTTGGCCGGAATCAGCTCTTCAGAGCTGCTGGAGCTTGATGATGACGAGGAGCTTGATGAGGAGTCATCTGCCGGAGCAATGCCTTCTTTGGCATTCCAGTGGAACCTCTTGTTGAACCTGTTCAAATGTGGTCCATCATGTCCGCCAGGCAGAGTGCATTCGGAGACAGAACATTGGTTACCAATGACTGTTTGTCCTCCAGCCTCATGTGCTTCAGGATCAACTCCTGGCCGAGGGGTACTTGGCATCCCTGCTGGCGTAGGTGGTAGAGGTTCACCTTCATGCTCAGGTACTGGTGGAACTGCTCGAGGTGTGCCAGGCTCATCTGTGGCGTTTCTCTTGACGCCCTTCTTCACTTCCTTGGCCTGTCGTTTGGCTGGCCTCGAACTCGAGCTTGTGGATATCTCAAACCATGTCTCACCAGTCCATCGTTCTTGTAGGTGTCGATGGGGTTCGTCAGCCTCTCGAAAATTGTCTTCGAGAACTGTCTGCTCAGCATTCTTCACTGCTGGCTTGACGTAGGTCTTGTGGACTCCTGTGAGGGAATCTTCCGGGACTGGGCACTGATTCACTCGCCCCGGAGTGAAAAGTGCAAGTCGTGGAACACGATGGACTCGAATCAGCCACCTGCCCTTCTCAACTCTCCAATGGTCGGTCTTGAACTTGTCACCTGCTGGCTCGAGTTGCACTGTTGTCTCACTGACATCTTGATGTCGATCTTGTTCGCTGGGGGCCTCACCACAGACATTGGTGAAATGCTTTCCTGTGAAGTGGCGAAGCAAAGAATCCAGCGTCACTGGCAGTTTGTATACTGCTGTTCCTTCAAGGGATGTGTGCAGCTCCTCTCGTCGGGTGACTGGACGCACCTGATTCAACTTGGCCTTGACAATGGCTGAACCTGTAGCTAGCCACACTGTGCTTCCTTCCTGCAAAAGAACTCTGAGAGGGCCAACCCATCTTGTCTTCCCGCCTTGTTGGCGCCACAGCATCACCAAAGCGCCAGTGCGGTACTGGTTCATAGGACGGCCAACTGCGTTTGCCAACTTGCTCACGCGAGCTTTTGCAGATTCCATCTCATAGGCGATCTTTGCCTTGGCCTTCAGGTTGAGCATACCATCAAAAGCAGCTTTGGGATTCAGGCCCACAGGTAGGGAAGGTTCTGGAGCATCTGATCCCCTGCACCACTGAAATGGTGAAAACCCATGAGGCCCGATCGTCTGGTTGTGGCCGTGGGTTGCCAAGTTCATCAAATCACCTGCTTCCAGCTCAGGGCATTCTTTGCGAAGCCGTTTGAACGTGTTCTTCAAGATGCCTATGCATCCTTCCTCGGCTCCCAAAACCCAGTGAGCTTCTGCCGGGGCTGTCAACACTCCAATGCCAGATCTTGCCATGTAGTCAATGTAATCTGACGATGTGTAGTAGGTTGCAGGATCGGAGATCACCCAGCGAGGTGCAGGATTGTGAAGAAGCCAATGTCCGAAAGAGCGAAGAACGTCAGTTGTCTTGGGCTCCCAACATCTCCCAACGCTCTTCACTTGTGTAATTTGCAGGAGCTCAGTGTATGCCAGGCCACTTGCTCGATCCCTCCAGAGAATGAATTTGCCCTTCATGGTCTTGTCGTCCTCTTGGAACTCAACCTCAAACACATCTGTTCCGACCTGTTCGAACAGACTGGGCAAATCATCTGTCGATGAAGGAGGTGGTGGTCGTGGCTTCCGTGCCTCAATGCAATCAGGACACTGGATCTCCTTTGACAATTCAATGGCCCAGTCAGGGGCCTTCCTCATGCGAAGGAGCTTCTCCAAGTTCTTCATGGAAGAGTGTCCGGAGGCCTTGTGGATACGGAGCATAGTTTGCTTGACTTGTTCCAATTTCTTCCCTGTTGGCCTTTCTGCAGCAAAGCGTTGGCGCTGTAGTGCAAAAATCTTTGGGCTCTCTTCTCTCACGCAATGCTCACAAGTGCCTTCTTCGTGAGCTTCGTCAACATCCAGGAGACAAAGTTGGATGTCCTTTGCCATTGACACTTGTGCTTCTTCTTCAGGGCGTGTCCAACTTGAAATCAAAGACTTGCAAACAGCCTCAACCATGGCCTTCGGGTAGTAGGCCGATGACTGTGCCACAGGGCCTCTGCACTCGAGATGGTCAGGATGACCAGGACAGCGCTTTTGCAAGGAAAGCCATACCTGACGGTCTGATGTCATCACCGTCCAACTCTTCAAGATCGGATGCCCTTCATACTGAAGACCGTAGGCGCAGCCGTGGAAGCGACACCAAAAGATCGGTCGACCGAGTGCTCTCATCTTTCTCAGCAATCTCGAGATGCACCTTCCTTTCCAGCCCTTGGTGGCTCTGGTTGGCCACTCCCAGCAAAAATCGTTACCGTTGTCGAGGGATTCGCAGATGGCTTCACTGACTTCATCTGCTCGCTTCAAATCACGATTTTGCCGCTGGAGGAACAGGGCCATCTCTTGCTCCGTTCTCTGGGTCAGGTTGACCAGAGGACTGCTCCTTGTACATGGAAGGCTCACCCATGACATTCTGGCGGGGCTCTGTCGCATCGTCTCCTTGAGGTGAGACGTTCCAGCCTTCGTCTCAAGGTCATAGCCGTTCTTGTAGTTGATGCGACGGATGCTATAGCCCTTCTCTTCCATTGCCGTGCGCAGGGAGCTGTTTGGAGCACATGCGATCTCCTGGAAGTCCACACCTTTGTTCATCTGTGACATCAAAATCTGTGTGGGGCTCATGATCATCGTGCCGATGGTGGCTGCTGCCATTGCCAGCTTTCTTGCGGCGCTCAGAGAGACTGGTTGCCCTCGTTCATGACTGACCTTCTTGGTGGTGAGAGTCCAAGTTCGGGGAAGATCCTCCACCTTGGAGTTCAAAACTGTGCCATGCTCATCAAGAGGTGGCGGAGAAATGGTGTCGTGGTTCGTAGTGTTCGTCGTGGGTGTCGTGGAACTAGGGCAGTCGGCTGCCAAGTTCATGCCATTGGGATTGGAAGGCTCAGAGCCGCCTTCATGGCCATCGGTGGCCGTCTTCTTCATCCTCACTTCTCGCAAGCGCTCCCAGAGCGCGGCGATCGTCTGGCTCAATCGCCTTTTGGGGCCGAGTGGCCATTCGCCATGTCCATATGCTCGTCCTCCGAGGTCACATCGATGACCGGGTTCTCCTCCTCCACATGGATCGGAAGCTCTGGCTTCGATGGGGCCGATGGACTGGATCTCTTGCCTGGTGATGGCGACCGGCTTGGCTTGTAGCCCATCATCTTCTTGATGTCTGCCTTCAGGCCGGTCTTCTCCTCGGCTGAGCTTGGGGAGGTCTTCAAACCCTCCGGAGATCCCGGCACTGTCGTCGCCGGCGTCGATGGGGCTGCCGACCTTTCCTTCTCCTTCTTGACCGTCACCAGAGGCTTCCCATCTGCTCGGCCATACCGCTCCAGGCGCTCTTCGTACTCCTTGAGAGTCATGTTGATGGCCAGGGATGTCTTGATCCCCATCTGGAGCATCGTGCCCTTGATCTCCATGAGCTTGCCATTCACCATATCGGCTGTCACCTGGTCGGGAGGCGTGATCTTCTCGATGGATGCCATGGCCAAGCGGATCAAATGAGGATCCGGGCCCATCTGTCTGGTATGTCCACCAGCTGCCTTCTTGCTGACATAGGCGAGGCGTAGGCCACACTGCACGCACTGACTCCAAGTGGCGTGCTGGTTCTGCCTCATCTTCCCTTCTTTATGCTTTCCAAAGCACGGGAAGCCCTCCACTCTCGGGTCGTCACATGCCGCTGGAGCTCTCACGGACATGCCGAGCGGGGACTCGATGATGAAGCTCGTTCAACCTTTGAGCCAGAAGCTGGAGACGTTCTTGCACTGACTGCTTGGATTGGTGGCTGCTGCGAAAAGAACTCTCACTCTTGGCTGAAGGCTCAAAAACACTTTGCATCAAAACATGCTCAACTGAGGGTGCTGTGGGAGTAGAGGTGGAAAAAGCATGGACTGCTGCTGCACAAGGACTGCTCTCCTCTTTTGCACCTCGAGTTGAGGTCATCGTCCAAAGGTCTCGTGCCTCAGAAACATGAACTGGATTGGCCGCCAGGTCAATCGTGAGGTGTCCTGACGACAAAGCCTCAAGCTGAACAGCCTTTGCTTCCTCCTCTACTTGTGCCAATTCCCCATGGGGTCGAAAAACAAACATGCCGTTGTTGTATCCAGTTCCATCCAAAACGTAAAAGGACATGGGTCCCAAGGATGTGCCCTGGAGACTGACCTTGCTGACCGCCTTGTCGGTCTGGCCGTTCCCAAAGCGGAAGGTGGGCAGGCTGTCATTGGTGACCAAATAGGAAAAACCACCTGACACAACTAAATCATTCAAAGCATCAATGCCTACGGCGTTCTTTGTTGCGCCAGTATCGATGACAGCCTTGGTGGCCGGGCGACCATGCAGGGTCTGTGCGTCCCAGTTCACATTGAACATGGCCGGCTCGGAGAAAAAGGTCGGCTTGCCTTTTCCTTTGCCACCAAACTTGCTTTTGCCTTTTCCACTGGAATTGAAGCCCTTTCCTTGGCTCTTCGATTTGCCAGCAAATCTGTCGGGGCAGTTCTGGTATCCGTGGGTTGGCTTCCCACAGATGAAGCATGGACCAAATTTTGGCTTGCCTCCATCCTTGCTACCCTTTCCTTTGCTGCGGCCTTTGTCCAGCATCGTCGAACTCTTGCTCATGCCCTTGCCCGCCACGTTCTCAGGCGAGTAGTAGCCACGAGCAGCTCGAACTTTCTTAACTGCCTCTCTTGCTTCGTGGAGTGTGCGATGTGCCTCATCTGCTATGGCGAAAGCTTCCTGCAGCTGCCGCTCTTCAGGCACCTCGCTGTTCTGTTCTGGATTGATCTCTTCATCATCGATCCAGCCATCTTGCCAATCGACTTCATGCCATGACCAGTCATCCGACCAATCGTTCCAGAACGTGGGCTCATTCCAATCGTCCCAACTGCTGGGACTCCACTCTTGCCAGTCAATGTCCCCAAAAACATCATCTTGATGCTCCTGAGGCCATTCCTCATCCAACCACCAAGCCATTCGCCTTCGATCAGCTCCGGCGGTTGCAGTGTTTTCCGCTTCATCGGAGAACAAAGTCCTGAGGGCCAAACGAATACCAAAGTAATGGGTCGAGTTGCCCGTTTGGGTCAACACGTTTTGCCGTTCAGAAGTGGTCAATCTCGCAGCCTTGAGGAGTCTGTAGCCTCTCAACTCGTCCTCAAAGAAGCTAGCCATCGGAGCAACATCACTCAAAACAGCTGGCTCTCGTGCGACAGGTCTCCGATTTGCACCTGCAACTGGCGATCTCGAAGGGGTAGTCGGTGGATCAACAACTCTGCTCGATCCCTCAACTGTTGTACCACGTGGATGGAAAAACGTAGCTGCTCCAAAAGCACCAACATTGACACCACTTGAACCAATGTTGTCGCCCAATGTTGCAGCAACACCTGAACTCGATGCAATGCCCGTCTCAATGCGGGATCCGGTTTTCGCAGCACGCGAACGTTCCAACGCTTGTTGCAAAGAAACAAACAGATCTTCCTCTCGGACCAGGAGTTCAGGGATGCTTTCTTTTGGATGTCTCTTCAAAGGATGCCAGGCCTCTAGGCGGCTAAGGGAGTCAGGAACTGGCAGAGCCTGCAGCGGCGACGCTCGAAGCACCTCCAACAGACGTGAAAGACCTTCGGAGTCCTCATAGTCCTCGGGAGGGAGATGCTTGACCACTTGCTTTGCAACTCCAGTGAGCTTTTGCCAAACCTTGCTTGCAGCCAACTTTTGCTCGCTGTCTTTGAGGCTTCGTTGAAACCATTTGCAATGGGTAGCAAAAGCTTCGAAGGTAGATGCATCACCGTCCCAAGTGGGTACGAGGTCGTGACCGCTTGACATCCCCTGGAGCGTAGCGCTCCGCTACCATGCACTCGGTAGCGGAGGCTTCAACCAACCAACAACAATGAAGCAACCTTCAATGTACCAACAACTCGCTAACCTCTAGCGACAAAGGATCACCGACATGTGGTGGCGCACCGTTTTCTATCTGAGGCTCAAACGTTCGAACCCACCCGGCTTCGGATGGTCGCTCATGGAACCCTCGTGGACAAAGTCTCACCATGGATCATGCTCGGTGCTTCGCATGTCATCCCTAAACTCTCATGTACAATAAACTGTACAGTCCCAGACTGGCGTATCTGAGGGTTTTCAAGTAGATGTCATTTATGAAGGGTTTTGAGGTTGATATGGCCTATCGGCTTGAAAACCCCTGCAACAAGAGTTCATCTTGTGTTTGTGGGCAAGTTTGGGCTCACAGCGGGGGAGCGCTGTGCTTGGGGTCCTTGTCAGCTTTAGCCTCAGATCAAGTGCTGGTGCGCGCTGGAAGAGGTCTTTGTGTAGTGTGTTACTGTAATGTGTGTTACCTGAACCCTGAAACACGACCATAGAACACATGCCATGAGCATGAGCATGTGCATTGGCATAGTAGAAACCATGCCATGAGCATGACCATGGTAAATTGGAACCACGCCATGAGCATGAGCATGTCTTCGAACCATGTACATGTTCACACTAACGGGTCATGAGTGTGTGTGAACATTTGCGTTTCTAACCGCAGCGTTTCAACTCAAGATGGAGACCTCAGCTGGCGGAAAGGAGCAGGTGCATTCACGCATTTATTGGGGCAGGGAGATCAAACAAACTGATCGCTGGCAGGCTATGGCTCAGGAGAAAGCTGCGCTTTCGATGGGCGTTCAGAGCTTGGGCAGCAACTACATTACACTTTGAATTTTTGTGCATTGAGGCATCTGCAAAGGCGAAGCCTCGGCGCGTGGTCTCAGAAGTGGAGCAGTACCCGCCACCCATGCCAAAGCACCAGCCCAAGCCAAAGCAAGAACAAAAGGGTGACGAGAAGCCACCTGCCAAGGACTTCATCCATGTGCATGAGCATGTGCACGGACATGATCATCCGAGAACAGTCAGTCATGTTGCCAGGATGACATGTTGTTGAAGGAGGAAGTACCAGCCCCTTCCACCAGCCCTAAACCAGCTGGTGGGCCTGTGGCACCGGAAGAAGACAATGGCCGGCCTGAAGACCCAAGGATTTGGCCCCCAGATAAGAGACTGAAGACAACTTCTAGGGCTACCAACTCGAAGGAAGGAGTTTTCAGGCACGCGTTCCTGCTTCCATGTGATTCCCTCCACTTGCCAGGCTCATGTGTGTTAGTTGTTTGATGGCAAACTTTGTGTTCGCACTTCCCCGAAGGTCGTCTGATGGCAAGGTTTGGAACTTGCCACCGCCTGCTGTGCTCCCCATCAGGAGGTGGGTATTGCTGATTGAATTTTAGTGGCACCCTTCATGGATGCAGGCCTCTGCCGCGTCGAGATGATGTATGATGTGGCTGGCGCCTCATTGGACAAAGGTTCTTATATATACAGCTAGCTGCGTCATTTGTTTGAGGACTGGTGCTGCCCTACAGGAGGTTTCTGCTTGGAAAAGCTGCGCGTCGAGTGACATGCAGGGTGGGAGTGTCACTGCTTACTGAATGAGTAGCTGTGCCTTGACTCTCTGTACAGCTCCTGAGGTCATGGCCTTTGTGAGTGGTTGCCTTATAGTGTGCCTGAGGGCCGTCAGGTATGTACCTTTCCCTAGATTCTTGCTCCAGGAAATGTCTTCCGTGCGGCACTTACAACTTCGCATGGGCACGTGCATGCGTATGCTGGGCAACTGTTCATGGTCGGTGCGCAGTTTTCATGGGCATGCTTAAAATGTTCCTGTCCAATGTTTTCATGCGCATGTGACATGTGCATGTGCATGCTCATATTGTTCATGTCCATGTGCATGTGCATGCGCGCGCTCATATGTCCACTGTTTCCATGGGCATGTGCACGCGCATGCCTGGCATGCACTTACCTGTCATGGCATGGGCATGTCAGCCATGAACATGCCCCAATTCTATATCAGAGTGAACATGTTCAGATTTGACCTGCCCAGGTCCTACTCCATGCAGCTTCCTCCAAACCGTCATGGGGTGCCCACGTTCCAGGTCGCCGTCAATTTCCTGTCTAGGTTTTCTGTGCAACTCACACCTGATAGAGCCTTTTGGAAGCTGTTTGGGCTTCTCAACTCAGCACTGATTACTTAGTGTGCTGTTGCCCGGGATGCCACGGGAACTGAAGCAGCTTTGTGAAGACCCCAATCTTGTCAGCAAGTACTGCGCGGCCTTTTCAGCAGAAGACCGATTGAAGAATGCTGGAACCTCATTTGTTGGACATGAAAGTTTTTTGTCCGCTGGCTTCAATTCACGGAAAGCTTGCTCAGGTGAACTTTAACTTTATTCAAGCACACAGTGAAGACTTGTTCAAGAAGAAGGGGAAAGCTACATGCAAGGACTTGGAGCTAAATGTGGAGGCTTGGGCCATCTTGGGGCTTCGCAGATGTGACAGGAAACACGTTCAATTTCAATTGTTGGAATGTTGATTGGGTTTTTGTTGCGGGCTGCAGGCCATCTACGCGATCATGAGTGTCACGCCTACCGGTCGCCTTTCTGATGAAGTTGTCGGAAAAGCTATATCTCAGTTTTATGTGGATAACAAGCTCTTGCCCGTTGGCATTTCAATAGGTGCCCTGGACGAGTTGGCCATGAAGTTTGCTTTGGGCCTTCGCAGGCTTGTGGGCCTCTTTAGGCGGCAATTTGATCAGACCCCAACTGCTGCCAAAAGCAAGGCGTTGGCCCAGTTGAAGGCACGCCTTCGTGAGGCGAACGTTGTGCTCACGAGATCCGGCTCACAAAGCTCGTTGTCTCGATCGGCCACTGAGGAGGACATGGAAGCTTTGTCTGATGGCAAATCGTTTGACTGGAACCTCTTAGCTGCCAAAATTATGGAGCGCAAAGCAGAGAAAGATCGGAAGGAGTCTGAAGTATTGAAAGCTTCTGAAGGCCAAGCTCTCGGAAGGCCTGTTGCAACTCCAGCTCGGTCCCACGAGCTTCCAGTCTTTGTGGTGGAAAGCTTGAAGCAGCAAGCCGCTCAACCACCAGCTCCCTTTGTCGCTGGAGGGGAGGATGAAGATGGTCAGACTGCGGAAGGTCGCCAGCAGGCCAAGCCAAAGCCTAAGGCAAAGGCCAAAGGTGGAAAAGGAAAGCCTTCGAAAAAGTCTAAGGTGAAGCCACCTGTAGCAGATGATGAAGTAGAGGAGGCTTTGAAAGTGCAAGAGCCTCTTCTGCAGAAGGTGGGGCCTCCAACACAAGCAGCTGAGCCATGTGCCGAGAAGGCAACTGAGTCGGCAGTCAGCTCTGCTTACATGGCTGGTGACTTTGGCAAGAGAAGGCTAGAGTTCATAGCTAAGAAGCGGGCGGCCAGTGGCAACACCATGAGCTTCAAAGAGGCATCAAACCTGTGGATGTTGTCGGACGAACGCGCTTCCATGCTCCAGGGCTTGGACCCTGTGCAGCTGAAACGCAGGCGCTTTGCATAGTACATAGATCGGTCCATGTGCATGTAGTATGACCATATGCGTCCGGTGTATCTGGATCAGAGTGGTACCTGGCCACTGTGAAAAATTAGAGTGCCTCAGAAGCAATGCAATTTTGCGCCTGTGCCAGAACCCCTTGTTGCCTGCACGCAGAGCCTTCCCACTCAAAACCGAAACCTGCCATAGCTCCATATATATCGTCATGACTTTGGTAGAGATGATGCGATGGGGCGCCCCAGCCATGCTCATCTTACTACATCTTCATTTGCTTTTCTTGGAAGAGCTTGATGGTCGGGTAGCTGGAGCCTCAGCTGTCTGGTGTCTCAGCTGCTGTCTGGTGTCAATGCATGGTGGGCCTTGCCAGGCCTATGACTGGGTGGAGTACTTCAGCGGTGCTGGCAAGGTCAGCAAGGCTATGCGTGAGGCGCGCGCGCAGAATTTATTCACTTGTATCTTTCTAGTGTATACACACTGGAGTTTGATTGGCGCTGAATGTGAGGCCGGCTTTGTTGGAGTGGAACTGGACAAGTTGCTTTACAAGGAGCATCGGTCCATGGACTTTTTGACGGAAGCTGGCTTT